AAAAAAAAAAAAAAGAAAAAAAGATGAGAATTCTGAAGAATGATTGGAAACGAGGAGAAATGATTCCGAATAATGGGAGTGATGAGTAAATATGAACATGACGATGCAACAATGAGGACAAATAATGAAAAAATAGTAAGATTTAAGAACAAAAAACTGTATGTAATCATTGCAGCGCAATGCAAATGCAAGTGCGCATGAGTTCTTCGCCCTGACAAAATGTGGCTCGATGCTGGGAAGGCGAATTTCGTATGTAAAGCCTGAAACGGGTCCGTGCCACGGTTCAGTTTCTCATTACCTGGTCTCCAAGGTCTGTTTGCTTCGGGGCTTTAAAGTTTAGGATTTCGGGCCTATAAGGGTAATCTATTGAGGAAGCCTTACTTGCTTTCTTGCTCTTCTTCTTCTTCTTCTACAGGCGGAGCCTGTCCCGCGGGGAGGGCAGGCCGGGGCTACGCCCCGTCGCCGCACTTCCCTCCTCTACACTGCGAAATGGTACATGAACCTCAGATCATTTCTTTGCCTCGCGGCCCCCCCTAATCTTCTTCTCTTTCCCCCCAGGGCCCCAAATGCCAGACCTTGCGGAAGTTGTTTCAAGAAAATTGCTCCCCTTCCTAGCCTGGGAAAGGTTGGCGACTACTTGCTCCATAAAGAAACGGTCCCATTGCAAATCAACTCCTGTCGCCCCTGCGCTTCATTGCCAGGCATGAAAAGGCTACGCGCTGGCTCATATTGCTCCTCTGAGTGGTTGTTCGAGCCAGTAGACTGAATGATAACAGAGTAGCTGCCTGGAGTCGCTGTGAACTTGTCCTCTACACAGATATATACATGCATCACTCCATGACTCTCTTGTCATTGTGCTGCTACTCCAAATTGTTTCAATATTTTCCCGCATTACCGGCTAGAACCCTTGTGCAAGTGCCTACTTCGACCATTGATTTCCCGCAGCCACTTTCAAACCAACCACAACAAACCATGCCTACAGCCTACGTAGCTCTCGTAAAGGTGGGCTGCACGAAGTGTCATGCATTGTATCGGTTGGTCACTGTACACCAGCCTTCCAGGTAGGCTTCGCTACTCAATTGCTGGCGCATGCCGAATTCTCATTGTCATCATTCACTTTGATTCCATCTGACACGTTTGTCACGGTAGGATCGAAATGTTCCAATATGACTGTATCAATTTGTACCAGTATGTCTATGTTGTTCCCATTGAATATTTTGTCCTCAATGCAATTGTTGCGCCTTTTTCTCACATGCCATCCATCTGTCTTCAGGGTTGCCTGGAAGACTGTACCTGTCCAACATCTCTCGTACCGCAAGGTAGGCATCATCTTTTTGTCGGCTCGCGTCTGCTCTTTCCGGTAGGATTGCCAATTCTTTGATATCTCCCTCTTCCGGGCTTGCTTCCAGTCTTGCCTCCCATTGTTCCCGGACGCGCTTGTATTTTTCCCCATCCACATGGCAAGATATCCAATCTGGTCCAGTTCCATGTCTTGTTCTCCCTCACGTTCTCGATGCCTTCTTTCGTCCATACTTCTCCACCTAGGTGCTTCCGCCGGCTCTGCAGGAGTGGTGTTGCGGTGCCATCTGCGGATCTTCTCCTCCTCGGAGTCGCTCTCCCTGTTTTGCGCAGGCGGTGTTTGGCACTCTTCCTCATTTCCATCGCTTATCGAAGGGTCCGGTCGCACCCTTACAGGGGATGCCTCCCGTTCTGGTTGAGGGGCGTTAGGACGCGGCAGATGGTCCTCAGGCGGGATGCGCAATGTAGCTGCGTCCCTTCTGGCCTCCTCCTCTTCTTGAACTTTTTCTGCCAGTTGTTCCTTCTCAAATCGCGCTCTTTTCTCCTTTTCCAGCTTTGCTACTGCGACATCGTCTATCTTGGTCTCATCGCCGCTGGGCGCTTGCTGGTGGTGGGGCTTCTGGTTTGTCCCCTGTCTGTTTGTACCTTTTCTCCTGATGAGGCTTGATGTCTTCCCTGCTCCGGATCGTTGATGAACTCGAGGGTCGGCTCTCCTTCTATGCAGCTTGTTTGTCCTTTAGCACTCGTGCTCTCTCTGTTTCAGTTTGCCAGTTGAGGATTTCCAGAACCATGTCGGGGCTGTGTTCCTTCCTTGCCGTCGTCTCTTCGATCTGAACAAGTCTTTGTGTACCACTTGCGGACGCCTTGCTGTGTCTCCCTTTCCCGTCTTGGCAGTTTTTTTCCTGCGTTGTCTTCCTTGGGGCTGTCCCCCTTCCCCGTCAGTGGAGCTGGTCGAACTGAGCTCGATGGGGATGCGGCGGCTGCTTGTTCTCCTTGTTCCAGCTACAGCAGCATTCATAACCCATGCCTTCCTTTCAAACCTCCTCTCGTCGCTTGGACCATTTGAGCTTTCGTGGCCCCAACCACATGTCGCTGGCACTGTGTGCCGTAGTTGTGGGCCTTCTTCACGTTGAGCACGCAAGCCAAGCAAGCGCCATTTTGTCCCTCTTTGTAGTGGTTCTTCTGGCTGGTGATCTCCTTCCGCGGCATCTTCTTTCCCGGTTTTGTTTCCTTTACCCTTTCCCGCATAGTACATCATGTTGTTGCCAGATCGGTCCTGTCCCTCGCCCATCACAATCCTTCTCTTTTGTTGAGTCGTTGTAAAACTGAGGTAGTCTGACTTTCCTTGTGTTCCTCTGCGAGCGTGGTTCTTTGTTCCAGTCGGTTGCCTTTCGCCATCCTGTTTGCTCCCACCGACATAGAGGCACTGGATGACATAGTCTGACTTTCCCTCCCTTCCGCTGTCATTACTGCACTGCTCCCCAACATTGCTGCTTCCTTTGTACCCGTTCCGGTTCCCACTAGTTGTGGCGTGCGGCGCGGATCGATGGCTGTATCGGTCTTTCACCGAAGCTCAATACACCCCTGATTGAAAAACTGAGAAACCCCCAAGATACCGATACTAAAGCGACAGTCCGAATGAGTAGGGAAGAAGCACTACCCTGAAACGTGAGGGGGATTACAGCTCACACCAAGACTCTCTCTTGTAGGGTGGGCCCCCCTGTCTATGAAATGGCAGCGGACGTGAGGCCTAAGCCCCCTCTCGCAACGCGGCGTCCACACTCGGCTGAAGGGGGGCCTAACACTCCCCAACCTCCGGGGGCCGCGCAAGCGATAATTCCCAAGGGAGTAGAAGGAGACTTGAGCCAAAATGGCTATGGAAGGAAGATCTGGCTCTCTCTCTTTCTGTCTGAGGGGCTCCGAGGCTTCAAATGCGGCGACAGATACAAGGATCGCGACCCCAACCCTCACGATCCTGTGACTGTTGACACTTTTCAAACTCCAAGAGCATCCCAGGGTCCAAAAGCACTTTGCAAACTCCAGGAGGACCCGAGGGTCCAAATGCGACGACAGCTACGAGGATCGCTGGGTTAATTTTTGATCCCGAAAGAAATATCTTTTTGACACCAAATAACTTCTTGATCCTGAATATTTTTTGGATGCGCATCCCAGAGGCGGTTGCGGTTCTGAAGCTCCTATTCCTTGGCCGTTCCTTGTTGCTTCTACATCAACCTTTTTTTTCTTTGCTTTTGCGGCAAGCCATGAGTACTGTCAAAAATTCAGCGGCTACTGATGGGCTGCCCTGCTAAGAGGTGCAGTCTGCGTTCGAGCGGGGCAAACACCAGCACGAGCACTATCAAGACGGTGTCCTTTTAAACATGCTCTTGTTACAGAGTGTAGCAAGTTGACTTCTTCAGTTCCATGCTGTGAATCCTGCACTCAACTGCAAACGAGATGCTTTCTCTTGAATGGCCGCCTTCGCAGTCTTGCTTCCAGCTCAAAACTGCATGGAATTCAGTCTCTGGGCTATTCTCCAGTGGAGCAAGTGCCTCCTCTATGTAGTTGTTCTCCATGCGAAGGTAGAGTGGATGGCCCGTGTCTGAGTTTGGAGCCACTGGACGTGGGAATAACTCTGTTTCCTGGCAGAACGCGAGGCTGACCCAAAACTTCGGCTTTACAGACCTGTCACAAGTTGTTGACCGGCATTCTTCCCTATACAGGGACCAGGGTAAGCAAAATTGACCAAGACTCCTCTAGAGCAGAGCAAAGGTCTCGGAAACCCTCAGCTGTGATGGCACCTCGCATGGACAAATTATTGAAGTCGCAGGGATGGCTAATGGCAATTCGACACCCACACAACTGAGCTTGAAGGCAATCTGAAAGGTGCATCTCGTTCGGAGCCGCGTCAGCGCCAAGAGCTCTCAAGTAGTCACCTCAGCCATACAGGTTACACGTTTGGCTGATTCCTTTGGGTCAGTCGCATAACCGCATAATTGAAATCAACATGCTCCGCCGACTGCATTGACTGCATCTCTCCATACTTATGCAAATGAGAGATACTGCTACTGTTTTTACCAAGCCTGTGGGTTTGCCTTGGCCTTGATCCCTCAAAACCCCAGCCTGCCCCAGCCCGACATGAACGGAGACAAGGCAAGACAAAAAATCCAAATCCGACAAACCCAACCCACCCACCCCAGCCCGACATGAAGGGAGACAAGCATCCAAACCCACGACAACCGCAGCCCACCTCTGCCCTACATGAGGGAGACGAGGGAAGAGAAGCTTTCGCAATCCTGCAACCCCAAACCACCCCGGCTGAGAAACATTAGCAATCTGTAGAGAGGTGGAGAGCTGTATACAAGAACGCCTGTCGTAAACTGTTTGGGGAAAAGGCTTGGGAGGCTTGGGCATGAAGCTGAAACCTCATATGTCTCAGGAATGCTTAATGCCAAGGTGCCGACGCATTTCAAGAACATAGAAACACAAATGCACTGCCTGTGGTCCAGCTTGCAATCCAAGCGGCTCATCACTTTAAGCACTTCATCCGTCAGAGTTGCACAGCCAAACATGCGAAAGCGCATCACCCGGACACCAGCGGTGCCCAATAGAAGAAATAAGGTCTGAAACCTGGGCGGTCAACTAGCAAGCAGCGCAAGAACTTCCTCAATGCCACCAACAAGATCACTGTCAAAGATCAACATTGCAACTAGCAACTGATCGACTGTGAGCTTGTTCTGCGAAACGTCTAGGTCAGAAATGACGAACTCTGGATTTGCTTGAAAGCGCTTCCTTGGCCATTGCAAGCATGACAGGAAAGGGAATATGGGGGTTTGCGGGAACGCGATGCAGCGCATGGTGTTCTCTGCAAGTGCGGCAACTTTGCCCAGCATTGCCGAAACTGAAAGATTGCACAAGTCCCTTTGCTAAAGCTTGCTAGCGAATCCATGGCTCTCCATCCGAGCTGTCAGATCCTCGGCAAAGGCGCATACTACAGTGCGTATTACATAGCCAGATTTTCCCTACATTCCAGCTCAGATTCTGCGATCATTGCATCGAAAGCTTTGGGATCCTGCAACCGCTGTCTCCTCAGGTTCCCCGGCACCAACCAGCAGATAGAACGCACCAACGCTGCCTGTCTGCCTCTGCAGCAACACGCGAACTTTTTTTCTTGCCTGCTCCAGCTGCATGCGTTGCCTTCTGCTGCGACTTGAGCTTGCAGGTCCGAAAGCCCGTATTGCAGCCGCAGGCAGCTCGGAAAGAACGTCCACAACGAAGCGGCAACTCACGCGGGGGATCCCAGCCTTCACCTGGAAAGCCCTGAGCTCAGCACGCTCTCTGCGGCCGCCTCTGCAGCAGCCAATCTGCAAGCAGCTCATCAGGTCCTATCTCAGTTTCCTTAAAGGTTGCTGGCAAGATTCCAGACTTTGATGGTGCCATCTGCAGCTGCAGTCACCTTGTCTCCATGGCCCTACAGCCGGGTTGCTCAGCGTCATCTGTGCAACGCAATGCTGACAAGGGGCCAAGTTCTCCTCGTGGAAAGCAAGGCAAAGAACCGCAGCCTCAGGTGGGGTCCTTAATTTAAGATTCTTCCCCATTGAGGCCGAGAGGCCCCCCTCCAAATCCCAGCCCCTTGGATCATGTGCAAAGCTTGCCCGGGGCCTCATGCGCCTTGCTTCGTCGCAGCGGTGTAGCTTCGACAAGCTCCCAGAAGTGGAGCATGCCATCCTCAGGTAAAATTTGAAATACTCCTTTCTCAGGGAAAAATTCTAACGGAGAATCAAAGGGAAATGGAACCTGGATTTATTGGGTTCTGTTCTAAATTCCTTTACCCGCAAACCCATCAACCGCCACACCTTTCGCGAAGCTTGTGCAGTCTTTCGCAAGCACATTAAGACTCCGGTTTTGGGGCAGCATGCGCCAATCTCAGCAATTCAAGGAATAACCATGTGTCAAGACCTTTTGTCGACCTTTCGCTGCGCTTTCGCGCATCTTCCGCGTGCCAGAAAACAACCCTTGAACCGTGTGTTGCAAACTTGCTGTCTGAATGTGGCACCCTAAATAATGGAAGGGTCCGGAATAATGAAAAGTTTCCGGGAAATTATTCAGAATCAGCTATTGTTTGAGGGGTCCGGAATAATGAAAAGTTTTGGGGACAGAAATGAAAAATGGCTGATTCTGAATCCTAAATCTGTTTATATTTGTCTGATTTTACCTAAGAAAAGCAATGCAG